GGCAAGAGAAGAGGCGAGGACGATGGGCATTGCAAGAGTAACATGACTATTATCGCCAGACGGTGTTCTCTAAGGATGTGTTTCGAAACACCATACATCGTAAGTTCCGGAGCACTCAAAAGGAACACTCAAGAGAATTCCCCAAAACAGGCAGAGGATCATGGAGTGGTCGGTACCTGGCCCTTCATTCTTTCAGTATTAAAGGCCTGGTACCGTACCATTAATTTATAAGGATCATGAACGGCTCATACTCCGCTCAAATTGTTCAGGAACATCAGCTTACTGGTGCAAAAAGACAGTTTAGACGACGGCGGCGATTCTAGCAATACGATTATAAGAAGGACGCAAATCAGGAAGCGAAATAATTTTTTTGAACAGCATGTACCGGAATCGATTGACTTGCAACGAAAGGAAGCAGTTGGGACGCAAATCCAGTTTTTCCAATCCAGAACCAATTTGTGGTGCATTTATAACTGACCGATAGAGAAAGGAAGTCCCAAATTCTTTACGATTATGCGAGTTTCTTGCATGAAGAATGGCAACGAATTGAAACGTCGACCATACGTTATTTTGATCTTTTACTGGTTAAGAGGGAGATGCAATCTATCATCGACAATTGTACATTTATTGAATATTGAATGGGAATCTGTGAAAAGATGGTTTCGAAATTCTTAGCTTCCTGTTGCAGAAACTGATGAAAGTCTAATGGCGACTTTTTACATAGATGTTTGTTAGTGATAGAGTGAGTGACAAACGCTTAATTTTACCCTGGTCTAGATGAGGCTGAAAACTGTATATTCGAACACAGGTAGGGGAAGTTGGGGCAAAACGGGACAACGCAGATTTTAACCAAACCATACTCGATACCTATCGGCTATTTACCCTATTATAACAGCCCAGGACCAGTGCAAATTTCCAGATACGGCGGCGCTCTCTAAAGTAGTTTTTAAGCACACACGGAGAAAAGGAAAAAAATCGTATTTCTTATTTTGCTTCGAGTTCTTCATGAGCGAAACAAAGTAACATGGTACATTGGCGGCGTCCGATATTTTTTTTGGCTGATATTTTGTCTTAATTATTTACGGTGCTGATGGAGCAAAATGGGGCGGTATAGCGGCTTTAATAGGAAACAAATAGATAACGAATAGAGAAGGAATCATTATCCAAATGTTTTCCTGTCTCTTCATTTTATGCCTATTTTCAAAGTTCAGAGAACAGAGACCATAACGAAACATCCACAAATTATATGCCGATGCTTTCTCCCGTTTCTCCAGGTCTTCATTCTTACGAAGATCAAAGAACAGAAAGAGCAATGAAGCATCTACAATTAAACCTTGTTTTTTTTTTCTCATATTTTCCCACATTTTCATTACATGCCTAATCACTAAGGCAACAGAACAGAAAAAAAATAAAACTTTTAATGCAAAACAATCGTCGATGTTTCAAATTGTTATTCATGTATTCACCATTGATGCAAATTTACAGATGTCACAGAAAAACACGTCCATATTCGTTTCATATTCATGCCTGTATAGTTGTGATGAGCTGAATTCCGGTGACCCAACCTTCCCTAGGTTTTGCGCGAGGGAAAGAATCTGAACAGTAACACATCACATGAGCCTGAGGTTGACCATTGTGTTGAATATTGCAGACAAACTAGAATTGATATACAAAGTGGTTCAGAAGTAATAGGGCAGTTAGTACTACAATCAGCAGTAACTGCAATTGTAGGATGATTCGTTTTCTATTTGTTGATATTTCGTTAATGTTTCTGCTTTGTGACCTATTTAAATAGGTAGGTATTATGAACAAAAACATTGCAAAACACTATTTGGAGGAGCACCACGTTTTGCCCTGCAGAGACACCCCTTTTTGCCCCATGGGTTAGGCAAAACGTGGGTGTTTCACAACACCTTTTAGAATTGTCTGGTGGGTAAAAACCATTGCTGATGAAGTTGAAGTTGAATAATATGCGAATGTAAGACGTGAAAGATACTGCATACCATATCCGCGACATGCTACGCCAGCTCCTTGGTACTACATTTTGGTAATTTTCCTCAACTGCCCCGTTTTACTCTACCTTCGCTTTGTTATGCTGAGCTCAGAAAAATTCCGACGTTGGGATACATACTCTGGGTTATATATTTTTGGGGACATTTCCAAATAATCTTTTTAGCTTAAGAAAATAAGGAAAACGAAGAGATATAGAAATTCGAAACTGGATAGACTGCACCGACTGAGATATTGGTTTCAGGAAAATTGTTCATTTGAAGATCCGCATCCCTTGGGGGCATTATTCTTAGGTCTGAGACTTTTTAAGTATAGTTGCTTTTCCCTGCATCGAATTGGATAAATATAGAAAAGGGAAAGTTCTCCCTGAAATTGCTGCTGCGATGTTGAATCCAAGAAAAATTCTACTTTTGAGGCGCATAACCTCAGGGCAAAAGTTTTGGTGTGGGACGTCTCTTCCAACGACATTAATTTAACCGCGGAACGGCAATATAGAGAACTAGAACTTCCTAGGAAGCGCTCCTTCAGCGACTGGTTTCAGTGAAAATTTATGCATTTAGTGTATCAGAATAAATCATTATTTTAGTCAAGGGGCTAAGAGTTTTGTTTAGACATTTTCCAAGATTATATTTCTACTGATCAGTAAAAACATAAATAAAATTGAAGTTCTGGAAAGACCAGAGAAATACACAATTACTGTTTTTGCGAGTTCTGAAGTTAGTTGCATTGCTTCGATTCACTCCGCTCAGTGATAGATGACTTTGATGGCAAACTACAATTTCAGCTTCCACGAGAAGTACCTCCGAGCAAGAATTGATTATAATGAGATAGAAGACCTCTTATCGGTAGGAATACGAATTTATTTAAAGTTAAACTTTAGAACGTTTTCCATGGGCATAATACTTTGAGATTTGCGGTTCTTTCATGACGATTCCAAAGGCAAAATGATCTAGGAGTGAACAGATCTTTCGGAACATGTCTAATGGGCACTTCAGGGTGATTTCATGGGATGAATGAAGTGACGGACCATTTCCCATTCCGCTTCGAGTCAGCCTCCCTGTGCCGGACCGACACGATTGAAGTGGCGTGTTGTGAGACATGTTGCGTGTGGGAGTTGATGCTATTAAGGCGTTGTTTAGAGTCGAGGGTCCGGCGCGGCAAACTCAGCAAGAAATCCCCGAAGTGATTAAAAAGGTTTTTTCTAATTACGATCCCAATTGGCTGAATAATTTAAATCACAAACACAATTCACTTCACATGAAAATTTAAGTGTCTCCCCCTTTTTCACTTCCTCCTCGGTCCACCCAGCACCGCACCAGCTGCCTTCTCGTACCCTTCTCCCCGTTGTTCCGTCTCCGCTTGGAAATGTGTTTGTTTCGTGGGAATGAGGGATGCGCGTGTATCCCATTGAAGAGTCCAGGGTCTTGGGTCCTGTTGCAGGGGTGCAGCGTCGGGTTGGCCTCGTTCCATTAACGAAGCTTATTTCCAGGCCATTACCTTACGTTACATTACTCGGCCAGACTGCACAGCAAAGGAACCCCTCCGGGTACCTTTGCTGTCCCAGAGTTCAACAGATTTGGAGAATGGTGATATTCGAAGCGGGATGGTTCTTCTCCCTTTCCGGGGTGTCAGTTGATCCCATTCGCTTCCACTTACACCACCAGATCTCCTTCGAGCTCGTTTCATCGCAGTCCAGGTCAAGGTCCTCCATCTGGCGCCTTCTGTTTATCCATTTGATCCATATACAGTATTGTTCCTCTTGGATCCTCCAGGATCCTCTTCTGGGATTGTTATGACTGAGTATAGAGGTCATGAATGAGGGTCATGAGTCAGAAAACGAGGCATAAAAGGAATGGACCTCTACATGGGTTAGGAAGAATAAGCAAAAGAATGACAATAAATGAAAAAAAGAGAATTCCAATGGGATCGGGGTATGGCAAGTAACAATGGAATGAGAAAACAACAGCAATATAATAGAGATGAACCGTTGCAAACATTCACACTATTCACATCATATAGTGAGCATCATATTGAGAGTTTTCTGATTATATAAAATAAACATATCAAGGAAATATACTCATTCCAATTATACATTTTCACTCATTAGCATCATTATCATCATCAGCAAAATGCAACTCCATTTCTTCCCCTTCACAATTTCTTTGGGGTCCAGGAGTTGGACGTCGTTCGTGGGTTTCCCCCTCTTCTGGTTTCCCATTTAAGACGTTCAATTGAATTTTTGACATTTGAATCGTCTTCTTAGCGCACCACTGGCGGATTACCCAAATGCCAGCGATCAAAACAACACTGACCAAAACAAAGGATAGTGGGGCAGGGATAGTCTTTGGGTCCCACCAAGTATGCCACGAAGATTTTTCAATCTGTTCTTCCTTTTCAATTTCCATTATTTTTTATTCAATTTCAGAGAGTGGCATACCAACTGCTTGTAATTTCATTTGTTGAATTTGTTGCAATCTTTTGAGAATGATATTAAAGATAGGCTTACTCTGGGCTTTCTGGAAACGCATGAGAAGGGATTCATTCATAATTTGGAAAATATGGGGCACTTCTAAATTAATGTGTTGAACGCTTTGCAAGTCCATATGGCCCACATAACTGGAAGGAAGCAGATACCCTGGTGCGTGGGCGCTACAAGGAGCTGGAATAGAGAGGACACCTGAAAATTTTAGATCATGCTCTTCTGTATTATATGCTGTGTGACTTCGATCTGGGATTGGACATTGTACTGTCAGACGAAGTGGTGTCGGTGAGACGTAAAACCAAATTCCTTCATTACTGAGACGGAAAAACTGGGGTTCCGTATGGTGCAAAATTTGTTTCTCACATGAATTGGGATTCGTGGAATTTAGAAAGAGCTCGTAAGCACATGTAGTAGCCGGACGACTGAGAATAGCTGACCACGGTTGACACATGACAAGAGGAGCTGATAGACACTGGGAGAGATCCTGATTACTAAGTTCAAGAAATTTCTATCTATCATTGCTGATGGCCAAAAAGTCTGCCTTCGGGTTCCAAATCATAGCCAATGGAGTTCCTTGAATTCTCATGGGAATAGGGATACTTTGGAACAGATTGTAACTCCGGTCGAAGGTCTTCAAAGGTATTGTCAGGAACATTCGAAGTTGATTGGCAACAGCCATAGTCCTAAGATCGGCCCAATGATAATATATGAAGATGGAGTCGGGACTGAGTGGAACAGCAAGGGTGCGATCTGTTGGGAGCTTCAGTGAGATGTTTTGAAGGGTTTGGAAGAGTTGGTTTGGGGTAATTAAGTATGGACTCAGTCTACGCTGGGCGGCCGTATTCAGAGCTTGCCAAAAGGACATGACCTCAATTTGTAATTCTGAAAGGGCTACATTGACTCTACGAAGTGAGATTTGAATGTGTTCAACCGAAGCAAGAGATCTCCATAAAGACCAGGATGCATTGTGGAGCTGTTGCTTTAGAGCATATGTTTCACCGGTCAGATTTCGCATGGTCTTACATTGACTCTACGAAGTGAGATTTGAATGTGTTCAACCGAAACAAGAGATCTCCATAAAGACCAGGATGCATTGTGGAGCTGTTGCTTTAGAGCATCTGTTTCACCGGTCAGATTTCGCATGGTCTCAACGATTAATTTAATGTCATCCCTGTTTTCTGTATGTTGATTGCCGAAATGTTAAGTACACTTGCTTGCTTCTGCAACAAATGCAACTCGTCTGTCCTATCAACCTGGAGCCCATCCACTATACTACTGAGTTTCTCTAAATCCATGTCAGTCGCCACTCCAAATAGCCATTTGAGGTCTTTACCCCCAACGTCAATGAGTCCTCTCCTATTTCTAGGTTCCCAGTTTTGGACTTGCCATGTCTTCTGAAGGTTACTAGTTTCTCTAAATCCATGTCAGTCGCCACTCCAAATAGCCATTTGAGGGCTTTACCCCCAACGTCAATGAGTCCTCTCCTATTTCTAGGTTCCCAGTTCTGGACTTGCCATGTCTTCTGAAGGTTACTAATTTCATCGACGGCACTGACTTGTTGTAGTTGACGAATGTACTCAAGGACTTCAAGCGCTCTTGACTTTAGATGAACAGCTTCTTCCAAATAATGGTGCAGAATTGAATTGGGAAATCGCCTTCCTTCATTCCGATTGACGGGTGCATCTGTCTCTGTGATAGGATATGGGATAACTGTCGCTTGTAACCAACTAATGAATTTGGTTGTTTCCTCAATAATAGTCTGAGCAGTCCACCGGTAAGGCTCGAAGGTCAGATCAAACGTGAGGATCCAAGTGTCTCCCGACATCAATACACTTCCTTTCTTAAGGAACAAAGCACCTTCCCCTTTTTGGATTTCCAAAATGTCCCCAGACCCCCATTCTGCGATGCTCATGATAGGTTTCAACGTGGTGATTTGCCACAGAACACACATATATGCAATGAAGTTATTCATCTGCAATTAGAAATTTACCAAAGTCTATGGAGTATTATGTAACTCCTATAATCCTACTAATATATCTATGTACATAATGTACCTATCCTGTTCATTTTGACAAAACCTCAGCAAGCTGGAGAAGTTTGTCTAACATGGAATGTCCTGAAATAGTCCCTTTTTCAGCCGAAATTACATCCTTGGGAATTGATTCTGTCACAACAGAGAGCGTGTCAGGAGCGAAGGTCACCCTTTTAGTCGCTTTAACTTTAGCCCTTTCGGGGGGCGGAATCCAGTCTTCCTCCGGAACTGGTCCCTTGCTTCTGAGGACCCACGTCTTTTTCAGGGATGGTTTTCTTGTTGGCCTCATACTGGCCATGGGAAGACGGGCTGTTCTCTCCGTATCATCACCTTCCTTTACTACAACGGGAGTATCTGCCTCTTCGGTTTCGGAAGTACCTTCCTCTTCGACGCTCAATTCTGTTTCTTCATCAGAAGTCGGATAGGGAAATAGAGGGGAATCAATTATCTCGTCTGTGTCCTCTTCAATTTGTTCCCAATTTCCTTCATCTCTCTCTTCGACTGGTTGGTATGGGAAGGTCTCCATGTGATACCGTTTTATGCGGTTTACATGGACCACAACGGCCTGAGAGGAACCGACTCGTGAGACTTTAAAGGTCACTGGACCTAATTTCTCCAGGATACAATAAGGTCCTTTCCAAAGTCTAGCCAATTTGGTTGTTCCACCCGCTTTCACGCGTGGTACGTGCATTAGCACTAAGTCTCCCACCTGTAAAGTTGTCTCCTCTGACTTTCTGACTTTCTATCATAGTACTTCTTTTGCCTTATCCCACTTTGCTTCAACTTTTCTTTGGCATTTGTATATGCCTGATGTAATGTAGCGGCCATTTCCGCCTTGTAGTTTGTGTGAACATCGTACCTACCGCGCTGCGGTTTCACGATGTCATCAAACGGTAGATTCGGATCTCTTCCATAGAGTAGATAGAAGGGTGTTTCACCAGTGGCCTGGTGCGGGGCCGTACGATAGGCGAAGAGTACAAAAGGAAGGTATTGATCCCAGTCCTGTTGTGACTCTTCTTCGACATAATGGGATATCATCGCCATTAGGGTGCCATTGAATCTCTCAAAAACCCAATTGGTGGAGGGGTGATAGGGTGTAGTGTTCAGCTTCTTGATACCCAAGTAGTCATAGATAGCCTTCATCAGCTTGGACAAGAAATTCGTCCCTCTATCAGTAAGGAGTTTTTCTGGTACTCCATGTTTTGTCACGATTCCAGTAACAAAAATTCTCGCGACGGTCTCTGCTTTTTGATCCGGTAAGGGAAAAGCTTCTACATACCGGGTGAGGTAATCAGTGAAGACCAACAAATATTTGTTGCCTTCATGAGATCGGGGCAAAGGACCGACAATATCCATTGCCACGAGTTCAAAAGGGCGTTTAGCCACTTGGAAAAACTGCAGAGGAACTGGTTTTCGACCTGGAGGTTTTTTTTTTTCTTGGCAGGATCGACAATTTTTCACAATTCGGTGGACGTCCTGATTCATCTTGGGCCAGAAGAATTGAGTCTTAATTCTTCCCACTGTTTTGTGTATTCCCAAATGTCCGGCTAAAGGTGGTTCATGATTTAGACGAACGACATACTCAACCATGTTTCTTGGAATCACGAGTTGATCGAGAACTCGGCCGGATGATACTACACCCCTTTTGAAAAGGAGGTCATCAATTAACATGAACTCGTCTGAGGTTTCATTCCCCTTTTCTATCTTCTCTATAAAGGGTCCCCACTTGGGATCAGCTCTTTGTTCCGCTCTAATCCGCTGTTTGTCATAAAAAGGTTGGAACTCAACTTGTGCTTCTCCTTCAACAGTGTGAATTTCATTCAAGTAACTGGATTCGTCCCTTTCAAACGGTTGTGCCTGTCCTGGGATTTTGATTCGCGAAAGCGCATCCACGTTGGTATGTTTCCTGCCGGGACGATGAATGACTTCATACTGATAATCTTGTAGGAGTACGGACCATCGTGCTAATTGGGAACTTGGATCTTTCAAGTTCATTAGCCACCTAAGAGGGGCATGATTCGTAACTAGGAGGAATTTCCTACCGTATAGATAGCAACGAAAGGTTTTCAATAACCCGAGGCAAGATCCATTGAGCTAAAAAATTTGGCTCCTCCCAATGCATCAATAGTTTCGCTAATCAGCGGAAGTGGATAGGGATCTGGTTTGGTGATGCGATTCAAAGCACGATAGTCACTGCCACCTAAGAGGGGCATGATCCGTAACTAGGAGGAATTTCCTGCCGTATAGATAGCAACGAAAGGTTTTCAGCGCTTGCACCATTGCCAAAAGTTCCTTTTGGATTGTGGAATACTTTTGCTCAGCTTCATTGAGCTGTCGGCTATAATAAGCAATGGGCAATTCTTGCCCATTGTGAATCTGACACAAGACACTTCCGATCGCATCATTCGAAGCATCAGTTGCCACAATGAACGGTTTTCCAAAGTCTGGAAACTGTAGAATAGGCTTTTCAAACAGAGCAGACTTTAGACTGTCAAAGGCATTCTTTCTTGCATCCGTCCAAGCGAAGGTAACATCTTTCTTTGTGAGTTGGGTTAGTGGCCTCGCCAGTGCGGCGAAATTTGGAATGAAGCGCCGATAAAAACCCACAAGTCCCAAAAAAGAACGTACATTTCGAACATTTTGAGGACATGGGTATTCTTGGACAGCTTTGACTTTTTCTGGATCGGGTTTGATGCCTTGAGCACTAATGATGTGCCCTAAGGATTTCAACTCCTTCCTAAGGAAATTGCATTTCTGAGGCTTCAGTATGAGTTTACTTTCTCTCAGCTTTTGCAAGACAGTTTTCAATCTATCAAGATGCTCTTGAAACGTTCTGCTGAAGACGATGATGTCATCTAAATATACAAGGCACTTTTCATAGAGAAGGCATGAGAGAATAAGATCCATAAGTCTTTGGAAAGTACTAGGGGCTCCAACCATGCCAAATGGCATACGTAACCATTCGTACTTCCCGTTTGGGATAATAAAAGCCGATTTTGCGATTGCTTCAGGTGCCAATGGGATTTGCCAATAACCCGAGGCAAGATCCATTGAGCTAAAAAATTTGGCTCCTCCAAATGCATCAATAGTTTCGCTAATCAGCGGAAGTGGATAGGGATCTGGTTTGGTGATGTGATTCAAAGCACGATAGTCACTCAATAACCCGAGGCAAGATCCATTGAGCTAAAAAATTTGGCTCCTCCCAATGCATCAATAGTTTCGCTAATCAGCGGAAGTGGATAGGGATCTGGTTTGGTGATGCGATTCAAAGCACGATAGTCACAACAGATCCTCAGTGAACCGTCGGGCCTATCAACCAGCACCACAGGTGCTGCCCAGAGACTCGTGCTAGGGCGTATAACCCCGTACACCAGCATCTCTTTGATGTTATGTTTTAGAGCTTCCCTTCGTGATTCAGGTACTCTGTATGGCTTCTTGGCAATCGGGACATGATCTCCCGTGTTTACTTGATGTTCTATCAAGTCAGTGTGGCCTAATTTTCGGCCAGGTAGCTGGAAAACATCCTGGTACTCATAGAGAAGGTCTAGTAACTGACTTTGTAAGGCATTTGGAACATGTGATAGGTCAAAATGTTTCCCGAATTCCTCTTTAGTGAATTCATTAGAATCACTTTTGGAAATGGATCCTATATTTTCCATTCCCAGTAGGAATTGGATGCTTCCAAGAGTCTTTCCTCTTGGAAGACTCACTGGTGCACTTCCCCCATTTAGGACTTTCACAGGTATGATTCCCTGTCTTACGGTAGCCAGTACAGCAGCAACCAGAACACCTTCTATCCCAGAATTGAAAGGAGAAAATATAACTTCCCGCCCTTCATGGGACAGATCGGACTGGACCGGGTCAGATGCAAACTGTACCATCACATTAGTGACAATCTCTGAGCGAGGGGGAATTACAATATTTTCTTCCAGCCTCGCTAGGGCCCTCTTCCTCTGAAATATATTTGCTGGGTCCTTCCTGACCTCCTCCGTTTTTAAGGAACCTCTCCCTAGTTCTCTAATTCCTTTCGGGGTGCTGGGATTTTGGTGTGAGAGATCCTGTTTTACAACAGGCTTTTCCCGTATTGGCTGGACAAGATGACACTCAAAAGAGCTGACATCCTCATTCCTCCAGGAGAATGTCATGCCTTTCATAGACAGAGTGCAATCTTTGAATGAAACGACTGCCTCAGCAGCACATAAGAAATCTCGCCCCAACAGGACATCCGCTGAGAATGTCGAAGCAATTTTTCCAATCCATACCGGCAAAGTTATGCCGGAAGCACTGTTAAGACCAATTTCAAGGTCAAAACAGCCTATTGTTTTGATTTTATGGCCTGTGACTCCATAAAAATATCTTTCTTCCGGACGTTTGGAGCATCTATTCAAAAATGATTCATTAACTACATCTGCTCGGACCACTGTCACGCTTGAACCCGTATCAATAAGAGCTCTCCACAATAGAGATTTTTGCAAATAGATCATGATTAAAGGGGTGCAATCATAATTGTCGTCCTCTAATCCACTGACAAACCCTCGCCCGCCCTCTATTGGTGGGACGAGGGGAGATGCTCGTTTTTTTAATTTTGATTTTGGTTTGGATGGAATGTGGGAGCAAAGGCGGACAAACCACTAACCTTCTTTTGTCGTCTTGGACAATTTCTGGAGATGTGTCCTTGTTGTCCACATCCAAAACAGCTTCGCGTCTCTTTTTGCGAATTACAGTCCCGGCTGATGTGTCCAAGTCTTCCGCATCTCCAGCAAGTGATAGGGGTCTTCTTTGCTTGTTGAACTCTGAAAAGGTTTCCTTGAAGTTCCGGATGTTCACGATCCCGTTCAAATCTCCCTTGTGGTCCTCTGTCCGGGCATTTCCTTTGGCCTCCTTGAAGTGCGAACATCGGTTCTCGATAAATCCCCTTTTCTCTGATCTCCTCCTGCGCAGCTATCTCTATTGCATTATCCAAAGTAGGACAATCTTTCCAACGAATAAAACGTCGGATATCCGAGTTTCGGAGACCCTGCTCAAACCTGACTTTCAATAAGTTTTGTAGGAAGGCAGTATCCATTTTCCCGCTCACTCTCAGTAGTTTGGCTCCGATTCCTTTGATTCTGGCTCCCCAACTCCTTACGCTTTCAGTGGGCAATTGACTCATCCGAGACAGCTCCACATGCAATGTGGAAAGGTCTTCAGGGACAGAAAATTGCTTTATGAGAACCTTACTCAGTTCCTCCAGAGTTTTGTAGGGTGTAGTCTGCTCATTTGCTGCAATAAACTCCCTTGTTGGTCCCGTAATCTTCAGTTTAGCGACGGTGAGAGCGACTCCATCATCCCAAGCTGAAACGAGGGATTTTGCTTGCAAGATCTTATCCACAAATTCCCGAACAGTGACAGTTTCTCGGATACCCGAGAATTCTGGAAGGCTCCCGATTAAACTCATACTCCCGAAAGACAGCACATTTTCTCCCTTATCTCTCTTTTCGCCGGATGATCCAGCTCCTTTCTCTCCGACTTTTTCGGCTTTCTCCATGTTAAAATTTCAAATAAAAAATCCCAACAGAGTTTCCTTGCTGGCCGCGCCCAAAGTGAGAATATTATTATTATTATTATTAGACTTTTTTTTTTTAAATCCCACCGCTGCCACCAAATTGTTGCGTGTGGGAGTTGATGCTATTAAGGCGTTGTTTAGAGTCTAGGGTCCGGCGCGGCAAACTCAGCAAGAAATCGCCGAAGTGATTAAAAAGGTTTTACTAATTACGATCCCAATTGGCTGAATAATTTAAATCACAAACACAATTCACTTCACATGAAAATTTAAGTGTCTCCCCCTTTTTCACTTCCTCCTCGGTCCACCCAGCACCGCACCAGCTGCCTTCTCGTACCCTTCTCCCCGTTGTTCCGTCTCCGCTTGGAAATGTTTTTGTTTCGTGGGAATGAGGGATGCGCGTGTATCCCATTGAAGAGTCCAGGGTCCTGGGTCCTGTTGCAGGGGTGTAGCGTCGGGTTGGCCTCGTTCCATTAACGAGGCTTATTTCCAGGCCATTATCTTACGTCACAGACAGGTAGCGCTAGGAAAACCATACCCAAGTCGAGAAGATAGTTTTTTTTTCACCTAAAGTTAGTTTTTCTTCCTCAATATCCAAATTTTCCTTTCCTTGTCTTTCAGGAGCATTTTATTGAAGGAGTAGTTGGAGTTCTTCGAAAAAATGAAGTTGATGTTGATTGAGAAAGATAGAGTAACTTGGGGGAATATGGGCATTGAGGTAATATGGCCCTTCACAAGGAATCCCCTTACAGACTGAATAGTTTGGGCGAATTTTAAAAATAGTTCTATCGAACAGTACATGCAATTGTCAAATGTTTAGACCTGTTTATTTATCCAGTTCTTACAGGAATTTGTGATACATCGATGTATTGAAAGTCATATGCTGCGATTATTTGACCCATGACCCTGAAACTAATAAGAGCCTTGAGCAACTTGAGCATATACAGGGTGGGGCAGGTAAATTGGGGCAAACTATAATGGAAATTAAAAAGACATGTTTTGCAAGCAAAAATCAATATATTGAAATGAAAATTGGCACAGAAGCAGTTCAAATGATAGTTTCGAATTATTCAATGTAGTCTCCATTGTTGGCGACGACAGACTCGAGGCGAGTGCGGAAGGAAGCGCAGGCCTTGGCGACGATGGCCTTGTCCATTTGGGTCATCACCTTGTGAACCGCATCCTGCGTCAGCCATGCCTGTGTCTTCTTGGCCTTGTGGGCTGGAGCTGAGTCCTGTTGGAAGACATACTTCCTACCTGCAGCCACCATGCCCATCCAAGGCTTCACGACGGTCTCCAGGACATTGATGTACTGTAAGCAAAATTGTGCCTGCTGTCCAGGGAATCCGAGAAGGTCGGTAGAACGTTGTCATGTCGGTGGTCCCTTGAAACTCGACTTAGCCATGGAAGACACGGGTTCCCAGACCTGGATACGTTCTTTTTCCCCAGATATTCTCCGCCGTACTGCGTCAGCTTGCACTCCATTGGAACTGCCAAAGTCGTTGAAAATATGAAGAGTACTCTTCGGAGAGTACTCTTAGTCTTGGGAGAGAGTTTTGGCATATTAAGAGCACTCTTTGGTCAATCTGATATCAACATTTGGAATGCTCTAAAATTTTTCAACTAAGCTCATGTGAGCGGCGCACAGGTAAATCGTTGCTTATTAGAAATGTGCACGGTAAGTAAGAAGAAGATCGCGGGAGGAGCTGTCTAGATGGTTGGGTATCAAAATCGTGAGATGGAAATCCTAAAAAAAAAATAATGGTGGAAAGTCAATATTTTAGAAATATGTGATTCTACATCAATTCTGCACCTATTATGCCTTTAATATGTCTGGCATCATATACAGGATTGTGTAAAGGTTCTTCCCATGTTCAGAGTAATTTCATGCTCTCTATGCATCGTATGGCTGTTCCACGTGATGTCAGCATGAGTGGAACCTTGGGAAAAAGGTGTATAAATTCATTGGATAGGCCCACCAGCATTTGCTTAATGTGACCTCCTTTCAGGTATATGATTGTTTGCATCCGAGATATGCGGTAATAGACGCCTGATCGAAGCAGTAAAACTTCTAATATTACCTCATGATGGCGGATAGCATGTTTGAGATCCATTAAGGTGGTATTAAGGTCGCTGCGTCACGCAGGAGATGCTGCACTCTGACCTACGCTTTGCTGGAACTTCCCGAGACACGTTCCCATTCCTTTTCCCAGGGTGATACGGGTAATATGCCAAGAAGCCAAGTACTGTCTTTAGAAATAGGAGGTAGACGAGGAACAATCGTATCCTCCCACGTGGACCCATTTCGATGAACTCGGTTCCCACTTTCGCTTCCTATGTATAGCCTATTCCCTTTATAAGGGGTCAGACATTGCGTGATAGATTTGCACCAATGGGCAATAGTTTCGTGGTGAAGCGGGCAGCTTTCGCTCTTTTTTCCTCCAACCAAATCCCGAGCACGTTGTTATTGATCTAACTCGTCTTCCGGAGCACGCGCGTTGTTGGGAGAAGCGCAATCTGAACTTTCCAAGTTTCGCTCCAAGAATTTTCAAGGGGATCGAGGTTTTGGACGCTTAGCTGACTGAGATTCGAAACAAACCATAGCATGACCCTTGGGAATTCATGTAAAAAGAATGTTTTTGAACGAACCGTTGCTGGAACCTGCTTTCTTATGTTGGCTTAGGAAGAAGCACCGTCTGTCTTTGGAGTCAATTGTGGCTGACGCTTGAAATAGATGGATTACGTGTCGTGATTTGTCTTAATCAACGATCTTAAACGCTGACTCCAGTTTCACTCTCGTTTTACTTTAAAAAGAGTAAAAATAGGGTATGAGCTACCCTGTACTTCCTGCTTCTCTTTAGCTAAGTAATAAATTTTTCGCCTCGTCAGCGGTCATTAATTGAAAAAAAAATGAAAATAGGGGATAGGGGAGAACTTGCTACTCAAGAATTCTCATGAGAAGACGCATAGAAAGGCTTCGAGCATCTTGCACCTGGTAATAATCACAACCTGTCCCGTGAACAGAAAATAACTGGAGGGGATTCATACCACCTTGGATAAGCTGAACTCCTAAAATTTGTCCAGATAATTGCTTGTTTCCAAATGTTTTTAATGAAATGGCAATGATGTGGGCTCTAGCTCGTTCTACTTAGAGTCTAATGAATATAAGCCTGCAAATCAGGAAAATGGCTGAGTATTATTGACTTGGGAGCCATCAACTCGAAGAAAAATAAGAGGAGAAAAATCGACTTATTAATGATCACGAACTGTGCCTTCTGGCCCCTGAATTATCAAACGCACCATCGACCTGTAGGTGCGACACTTCATCTCATATGACGTTGTTCCATTTTCCCATTCCAATCCTTCATGGAAACGCGTCCCCAATTCCTGGTTTAGAACTTGCAATCATCTGAGCTACTGGGGAATCGGTTCAGCTCTGGAGAATAACGAACTTTAAATATCAATGAAACAGATTACTCGACATGTGCAAGGCCAGCTACTTCGAATTTATTGAAGTTACTTTTCCTGTCATATATATGACTATAGTAAAAAGCGGACTCCATCTTTTCCAGGAAAATATTCCATTGGATAAGAGAGAATTCATATTTATGATTTCGATGAAGGTTTCATGTAAAATAACTGTTGTGAGTGGGAGAATTGATTGCGTCTTCAGAAGAATACGCAATGTTTTAGAAAAAGTAAACAGTATCATGTTCAATTGCTCTTTGGCAAGCAAGTCTTGCTGATATGTTTTGTTAAAAGTTTGCCTGGTTGACTGTGCAGTTTGAGGCACCCAGCACATTGAATGAACGCATGCCTTGCAAACTAATTCTTCAAATAAGATGATGGTTTGGCTGCTTTTTATACATGGGGTGTAACTTTAGGTCCTTTGGGGGTATACCCCATGGAATGCACATACATATTTTTTAATTATAAATGAGACTGTTTTCCGAAATAGTTTTTTCTCCTGTGATATGGGTAGATCTGATACTAAGCTGGAATTTAATGCAGAAGTATTTTTTAGGAACAAATTTCAAGGAAAATCCTAATTCGTTGGCACATTCCTCAGAGTCGTTTATTTGGGGCAGCATTTTTTAAATACTTTTTCTCTTTGCGATGGGTGACGCAATGCACTTTTTCATTCTCTGAAAGCATATGCGAAAAGAGGCCAGGAGCCTACGGCTTCATGACACTCATTAATCCATAGGGCTGCGACACTTGATCCATATTCAAGCTCTCAAGCTTGAATATGGATCAAGTGTCAATATACCACGATTTTTCAACATGTGATCGGGGACATTGATGAATAAAGTCTTGATCGTTCTGCCTGCCTACTAGTGAATTATACAGCAACGAGCTGCATATGAAAAAATCGTTGTTGCCATATTTCAATAGTTGTAAAACTTTGTTTCGTTTGTGAAGTAAGTTATAGCTTCTTCATTCTGTAGGCAACGAATTCCATTCTGTATTCATAGGACAATACTTGATGCACATTCAAACTTAGTTTCATGGCCACTACTTCCAGCCTTCAGGATTATTAATATTGAATTCATCATCATTACCTCTACCAAGAAGGACTCAATATTGTCACGAAGCAGCAGCGACGGCACGAGATGAGTGACGTCCACGCCCTATGTTCAGACGAGCAGCTCTCCGTGGGTCGCTCTTCTAGGAGGCTTAGGTATAGTCATATTCTGTCAGGCGTCAATCGTAACTTTCGACCCTTGACCCAGACCTGTAAGAAGTCTGCAACTCTACCCTCCCGATTCCAATTCCTTTCCTTTCTTGTCCAAACCCAATATCCCGGTTGCCAAGGGGCAACAGGGAACGCAATCCTAAGTTCATCGACCTGCAGGCTTTATACATACGTATAAGCAGTGGTGACCTAGTCAAAGGAGTCGTCAGAAAACTCTGGCTCATTAAATTATATTAAAATTATTAAATTCAATGCATCATGAGGATGAATGGTGCGATTCATGAAGCGA